GAGAGTGGGGTTGTTACAGTAACACCATACACAGGGTCTCTATAGGTACACACAGGCACCAGCTCCTCCTGCTGCTGCTGCTGCTGCTGCTGCTGCTGCTGCTGCTGCTGCTGCTGCTGCTGCTGCTGCTGCTGGTGCTGGTGCTGGGTGGTTAGAGGGACCCAGTCCGATAGACTGAGGAAGGGGCCCTTGGGGTCGTGCTGCCAGGGAGCAGCAGCAAGAATATCTGCTGCTGATGGTATAGCAGCAGCAGCAGCAAAGTGCAGCGGCTCATAGGGCTTGCTGCGCTGCTGCTGCTGCTGCTGCTGCTCAGCAGGCAGTGTATACTGCTGCAGCAGGAAGCAAGAGATAGAACGGGGGGCCCCAGGTACTGCTGCGAGGCCCCTAAGAGCATCTGAAAGTAAGTGGTTATAGGGCATCTCATCTGCTGCTGCTGCTGCTGCTGCTGCTGCTGCTGCTGACTCAGCAGCAAACACTACACGCATCTGCTGCTGCAGCCACAAACCCTCAGCACCCCATACCAGCAGCAGCAGCAGCAGAGCAGCAAAAGGCAGCAGCAGCATCACCACCACACACATACGCAGCCGCAGCAGCAGCTGCATGCAACGCCGGGGCCCCCATCGAACCCTGCTGCTGCAGCAAGGGGGCCCCCCGGGGGCCCCCCGGGGGCCCCCCCTCTCCTCTCCTATTAAGGATATATTTTCTTCTTTTTGCTGCTGCACTTTATTTTTTCTTTTTTGAAATAAATACCCATCAGCAGCAGAGTAAAAAGACCCAGAAACATCTGCTGCTGCTGCTGCTGCTGCTGCTGCTGCTGGAGCTGCTGCTGCTGCTGCTGCTGCTGCTGCTGCTGTTGCTGCTGCTTCGGAGTTTCTGCTGCTGCCTGCTGTACTAATGCTGCTTCTGCTGCTGCGCCGCTGCACCAGCGGCGAGTCTACGGACGGCACTGTCTCGGGTTCACTCATTGTGCTGCTGCTGCTGCTGCTGCTGCTGCTGCTGCTGCTGTTGCTGCTGCTGCTGCTGCTGCTGCTGCTGCTGCTACTGGTTGTGTTCAAATGATTAACTCTACTATATAACCGCCACACCAATGGGTAGGCAGTGAAGCTATTGTATTTTGCTGCTGCTGCTGCTGCTGCTGCTGCTGTTGCTGCAGCTGC